ATGATAGCCTAGTCAAAACTGGAAAAGAAACGCTTTGCTTTGTCGACAATCGCACAATCTGCTCACGGGAGGTGAAATATTACGCCGCCACAAGCGGATATATCTGTCATCTTGACCTTGCTTACCAACTGTAACCATACCTGATCACAGGGTAATTACAACTTTTACCTCGGTTAAATTTCTTTTGTCTTTTGCGGCATTTACCAAAGTATCAGTTGGCGTTTACACACGAAAAACGTTTACCTAGGTAAGTAAACTCTGGTACCTCGGTAAACCGTTCAAGTCTAAACACAGCATAAGTAGCCGTGCACTATCAGCCATTAGTGTGCAATGGCTGGAGGTCGTCCACAAAATGGCGACGCTTTTTTGTTTTTCCAAAGTTTTGAATAACATTTTAATGCAAATGGAGATTAAATTTACGAGAAGACTAACAGAAGGAAATTAACCGTTTCTTGACTTTAATAAAAACTGAAATTATTGAAAAAATGATGAGCGCGAACACAACTGCAATTTCTAATGACAATTCTGTCAGAGTGATCTTTCCAAGGCGCGAAGTTTAATAACACGTCGAGAAATAACTGTAAATCGTTATTTGAAGTAAATTTCATTTAGAATTCTACTAAAACAATTAGATTATTCGCTCTCGATTTCTATAAAGTTTTATATAATAACCTAAATTGTTCCCGCATTTTGATTAGTTCTTACCTATGATCTGTTAGAGGACAGATGCACGATTGACGTCACCATTACAAAGTTTAACCTCTGTGTGTTAAAATGGCGGAAAGTTTTGAGAATTTAGATAATATTTTACGCTACTGGGCGGAGGGTAAGGTGCAAAAAAGTCTTGTCGAGGCATTGAACAGGTGCAAGAATCAGGGAGAAGAAAGAAAACGCCGGTTGTCTTTTAGAAAATCACTCAAACAAAAATTTTCGAGAAGTCTCAGTCGTCAGTCGACTAAACCAAATACAAAATTGGTATTCAAATTACTCTAAGGTAAGAAACCATTTTTTGTCTTGAATTTAAGAACGCCAATAAACAAAATGTTTATGAGATTAGTTTATTTAAAGAATTCAACTTTTTCAGTCTCAAAATAAGTGTTGACCGACAGACTGATGTCAGGAATGAAACATCAAAACATCACTTCGTAAAATCAGTTAAAATTAACACATAACCTTACTTACCGACACGAATGTTCCAGGCCGTTTCAGGGCACAGTAGTAAAAAAAAAAGTGTATTGCTCACCATAGCTCATAGCAAAATGTATTGCAGTTATTAAGTGTCTCAGACACACTATCAATCCGATTTGAGAATCGTTGACGACAAAGGACACAAATTTCCACAAAACTCGAATCGAACGGCCTCCAATGTGGATCTCAACTGCAAGTTTTCCGAGCGTAGTTTTTATAACTCCTGCAATATTCAAGGCAACATTTTAAGCTTTTCGGCTCACAGGGATGGTCTGATGACATAAATTGTCTTTACTTTTCCAGCATTTTCATCAAAATTTGTATATTTCACAGTTCAATTCTTCTTGCGCTGTAAGTTTTCATTCCACGAGAAGTGACACGCGAGTCAAGCTAGTTTGACAGTAGCGTGATTTACCTGGACCAATCACAATTCTTTGCTACGCATAGCAACTAATGAGTTTGCTTTATTTTGTATAGACAATAGATTACGTCAAATGTCTCTTTTTTTTTTCTTTTGGAGAGATCACGGAAGACGTCAAAATGTGGTAGGAAAATCACTGACACACTTGGCTATCGCCTCGTGTGCCACTTTTTTGTTCTTGCCACATTTTGACGTCATCTGTGATCCATTACTGAACAGACGCAAGCCAACATGGAATCGATTTGCTAAATACTTGATTCGACCTTCGGCATGATAGAAATCTCGAGCTCATAAACTAATTGTTAAAGAGTGCCTGGCTGTAAAATTAGACAAATTCTTAACTTCGCGGCAAGGGTCGAGAATCAATTAACCTTCTGTTGGTTGAATCGTAGAAGGATAACTTTGAGATTCCTGTAAAAAAAAAAAAATTCTTTGGAAAATGATTGTGAGCGACGCGAGAGCTTTTCAAAGTACGTTAAAAATGCAAATATTCGACCTTCCGTCGTCAAATTTTAATTTACGGGTTAGACGCATATTTTAGCATGCGCCACATGTCTTGACCAATATTAAGTTGAAATAGACAAAAGGGCTGATATTTTTGAAATCTTCTAACTTTGTTTGCTGCAAAAGGCAGGTCCAAAAGCCGATTTACCATGTTTCTCTCACTATTCGTCGCAACATAAAGTAGTAAAGTTGTTTCTATTTACACTACGCTCGATGTACATTACCAGCTGTCAACGTATTTAAGAGTCACTGCCAGTAATTATGGAGAACTTGACGACGGGAGCGAAAATTCGAATTTTGTTTCATTTGGTCAGAAAGACCGTCTTGGTGAGCCATTTAGCCATTTAGATTTCAGAACCTTTTATTTCTCAAGATATTCGTATATTAGAAGTGTTACGACTCTCTCAAATCAGTTGAAATTTGGGTTGTACATTAGATAGCTGCATTTTTCAAACAACCAAAAAGTAGACAAAACGTAATTACCTCAAGATGATATTTAACTCAGAGAAATTATCAAAGCGTAAATTACAACCTGCCAGTACTGACCTGTCGAAAATGCTCAATTTTGCTAAAATTCCATGGGCCATCTTGGTTAATCAAGCGGCATTTCGGACTTTCCTAGATTTCACCAAAGTGGGAACTCGGTGGAAACTTTAAAGTATGTTACAGGATTTAATCAGGATTCACGAAG